AAGACCAGGTGTGGCGCTACACACCTCTAATCCCAGCACTCAGACGGCAGAGGCAGGTGGGTCTCTGTGAGTTCACAGCCTGCCTAGTTTACACAGCGCGTTTCAGGCCAGTCAGAGCTACACAGTCAAGGCTTGTCTCAAATAAATAAGTAGCTAAGGCTCAGTAGTAGAGTAGAAGCATGCACAAGGCTCTGAGTTCAATTGCCAGAGATTCAAAACAAAGAAATAAACAACAACAAAGCCACAACCGACCAGTGACAAACCAGAAACATGACAGCAGATCCTTTAAAGGAAAACCAAACGGGGAGCTGACCAACCTCAGGGACTCCCTTGCCATTGCCGAGGTGTGAACCGGTCCCACCTGGCTTCAGTGGTGACACCCAGCCCTGTGACAGCCCAGGGCAGGGCAGTACCTGAGCCCTGAGAAAAGGCTAGCAAAGAGTCTGAAACACAAGCCGGCAACAGGACTTCCCTGTGCTAGCAGAGCAAGGAGCCCTGGGTCCCGCAGATTCCCAGGGTTCTCACACCACCTCGAACCCGCGGAGGTATGCTGCAAAGTTACAATCACAACACTGCTCACCTGGATGCTAAACCATAACTGGGGACCAGTGGTCGTACATGAGGGTCCCATGGAGAATGTTCTTCCTTATGCACTCCAGTTATACCGTGATGGGCAGGCTACACACATGGAAGACAGGGCTTTAGAGACCTCGGAGGGAGACCTCAGGCTTCCACCCTCAACCGAGGAGGTATGTGATTCACCTGGTCTCAGGATAAGTAACAAATGCCCTGGGAGGGTGGGGTGGGCAGAGGAGGGTGGACAGGGCATCTCACTTCTAGGGCTTCTCTGCCTTGTTTCCTCTGGTGCACAGGTGTCCTGTGAGCTGCTGTGGAGGGTGCAGAGGCAGCCCCATATGGTACCAACCTGATGCCCACTGTGGGAAGCCCAGAAGCTCCTCAGAATCTGGAAGGGACAGGCCTATGGCTTTCTCTCTCCTATCTTGCCAAGGTGAGAGCCTCTGGCTCATTCTGTTCTTCCATACCTAGGCACAGGGCTGCCCCGAGAAGGCCCAGCAAGGCCCAGGCCTAAGACCTGGGTCTGAGCCCACATCAAAGGGAACTTGTGATTCTTCTGCCTTGCAGAGGAAGGGCCGCAGGCTGTCAGAAGACTCCAGGGAAGCCATGTGGGTCTAGGCCTTTGCTGGGGGCTTGTCAGGACACTACTGCTGAGGTCAGGGCTTATAGCCTTGGGCAGGCCCTAGCCATGTACTCGGAAAGTTTGGCATTCTTCTGAGGCCACTCAGCTACCGGCCCAGAACACCCCCCCCCCAGCTGTTGTCCACTGTGCTGTCCTCTGGATGACCTAAAAAAAATCTATGGCTGTGGGCTGGTGAGATGTCCCAGTAGATAAAAACACTTTGCGCCCATGTCTTATGTTCTGAGTTCCAACTCCAGAACTAGTAGGAGGAGAGGCTTGACTCCCATACGCTGTCTTCTGACTTCCACACGCATGACCCCACATCCCCAACAAGCAAACAACACAAAACCTGTGGCTGACTCTCCAGGTAAGCCTTGGGCTACAAAGCCTGGAGTCAAGGTGACCCAGGGAGGGAGGACCACACCCTCTGCCACCCCAAGCTAGAGCTTGGGGCACTTTCTCTGATTAAAGCCTTCATGCCTGATGGATTCCAGAACATTCTATCCTCTACCCTGCCCTAAGAACTGTCCCCAAAGATCTGCAAAATCCCAGTTGAAGGTCTCCAAAAGCCCAGATTCTCCACCAGGGCGCCTTGGGAGCTTCAGGGCCTCTCTGCCCTTGACATCTGTGAAAAGACCATTTTGAGGATTTGTGCCTGCTTGGGCTTGTGTCCCCAGACACTGCCTTGGAATCTTGTCATTTATCTGCTTTACAGGTGAAGAAGCACGAGGAAGCAAGCAGATGAGTGAGCTGGGCACGTGACTCCAGGGTTCACATTTTGATACAAGGACAGCATCCCAGTCCATCCCACCAATCTCTGCTCAGCAAACAGTTCCTGCACCCTCCTGGGGTGTTTCTGGTATTTCTAGCTAAGTGCAATTTCAGTCATGTATACTCTTTTTTTTTGTTTTTGTTTTTGTTTTTGTTTTTGAAGACAGAGTTTCTCTGTGTAGTTCTGGTGCCTGTCCTGGATCTCGCTCTGTAGCCCAGGCTGGCCTCGAACTCACAGAGATCCTTCTGGCATTGCCTCCCGAGTATTAGGATTAAAGGCGTGCACCACTGTCACCGCTGCCCGGCCCATGTATACTCTTAAAAAAAAAAGGAAAGAAAAGAAAACCAAAGCAGTTTGTGGTGGTGCAGCCTTTAATCCCAGCACCAGGAGCAGAGGCAGGTAGATCTTCATGCGTTTGAGGCCAGCCTGGTCTACATAGTGAGTTCCAGGGTAGCTAGGACTACATAGTGAGACCATGTCTCAAACAAAACAAAGTCAACCAAACTCCCTAAACCAAGTGTCTCCAAGTCAGCTGCTCTAACACAGGCATTTCTCCACCCAGCAAAGCCAAGGTGTTCTCCAGTGTAGACATGGAGCTCAGAACCCAGCCCTGCACTGCAACGGGATCATCCTACCCCCCCTTTTTTTTTTTAATTTTTATGTGTATCGGTGTTTGCCTGCATACCTGTGTGAGGGTGTCAGATCTTGGAGTTATAGACAGTTGTTAGCCACTGGGAATTGAACCCAGGTCCTCTGGAAGAGTAGTCAGTGCTCTTAGCCACTGAGCCATCTCTCCAGCCCCCATCCTACCCCTTTTGAGAATTACCATGGGAACACCATATAGATAGAATTAGAGTAATTAACATGTCACAAAAAGCAGTGAAAAGCAGGCCAGACATACAGTAAGTACTTAATCTGTGTCACTGGGATCAGGCAACTTCTGGAGTGCAGGTTTTCTCATGTGCCAGCTCTCTGTGCCCTCCCCAGCAGGTGTCACTGAGTCCTCGTGCTCCAAGTCCTTGTGAGGGAGGAATGTACATGACAGTGCCCGAGAGCCCTGGCTGCCAGTGAGGATTTGACAGGTGGCTATGAAAGGGGAACTGAATTTAAACTTTTTATTTCACTCTAAATTTCAGTCACCACACGAGAAGCAGGGCAGCCCACTACACAGACTGGTGTACAACAGTGTCACTAACAGTGCAAGCCCGGAGGGTTAGCTAGATCCGTCTGGACCTTGCTTTGCCGGGCCTCCCGATGACCACAGTGGCCTGGACAGCTGTCACCCCAAGCAGGCTCCCACAACCTAGGAACAACACATCCTTTCTCAGAATTTAAGGAAACAGCCTTCGCTGGAAGCAACCGGCAAACAGATGTTTCCTCCTGGCAGGCCGGAGCTGCCCGCCCCTCCCACTGCAGGACTCCCACTCTTACTGTGAGGCCAGGGCTGCACAGGGGAGACCCAGTGCTTTCGATTCTTCTTTTTAGGCAGGGGGAGGAAAAATTTTTTTAAAATGTGTTTTACAAGCCTGCCTTTGCCATTGTTTATGTAAACAGGTAAATTGTTTCCTGCCTCAATTAAAAACATCTGCCACATAAATGAATACCAATTAACTCATCCTGTTTTTAATTACTCTGTTAATTACACACAGGCAGCAGCAAGGATGGCATGGAGCAGGGGGGCTGGGTGCATCCCTCCCCCGGCACCCCTCCCCCCCTGCCTGGCAAGGATCCGAAATATGTCTGGCTGGTGACGGATCAGGGTGGCAGGGAGGTGGTGGCATCCTGCCAGCCGGGATTTCCTGATCCAAAGCTGCCAAGCAGGCGCCTTTTCTCAGAGTCTCTTGGGTGGGGGATCTGTTGCCCTGGGACTCTGCCGTCAGGTCCCGTTGATACCAGGACATCAGGGACAGAGTGCTGTCCACACGCGGCTTCCCAGATCCCACGGGAAGGCTGGAGAGCAGGAGCACAGGGTCTCACCTAGTCAGTCATCTTTGTTCCTCTGCCGGGGTCAGGGAGTCCCCTGGGAGGGATGGACACCAGCACCGTGTTCTGAGCACATGGGTGCTGGGTGTCTTGGCCCTCACACTTTGAATACACTCCACTACACCTAAGACGGGTGCCCACGGCTCCAGATCTACTCATCTGGTCCTTCTTCCTCTCCAACCTCATCACCATCCGTTTTGCTTGTTTTCAAGGAAGGAGGAAGCTTTGCCTGCCTCCTCTGGGGAGCATCCCTGCTAGCCGTCATGACCTCCAAGCTGGGCTGCCAAGTACAGAGACCCATCCAAGGTCAAATTCCCAGGACTGGTCAGTGTCGGAGGGGAGACCACATTCTGGCAGCACAGCTTGTGCCCCAGGCAAGAAGTCAGCTTATCTAACCCTCCCGGCCTGTGCTTGGGAGATGATAAGGACGAGAAAGGAAAGTTTCCAATCTCCATTTCATAGGCAGGGCAACAGAAGCCCAGGGAGGATGAGACTGCCTGTGCACACAGCAGAGAGGGCCAACCTGCTCCACACAGGCTCCCAACCCTCTCTCTTCACATGGCTGCCTGGCTCCAACACAGGGCCCGCCGCATTTCCCACACCTTCCCTGCTTGGCAAGACTGGAGGCTTGAGATGGACCACGGAGCAGGACGATGAGGAAAGGCACAGCTTTAGAGTCGAAGTCAGTGTCTACTTTGTGGAGTTGGGGGGGAAGGTGTTTCCTTGGTATTCTTACTGGGAAACGGGAGTGCCTGAAGCATGGACATATAGGCGGCCTTTCTGCCCTTGCTCCGGGCCAGCCTCTCCTAGGCAGTGCCTGCTGAGTTCCCAGTTGCAGGGGTCCAGGCCAGCCTCCTGCTGCAGGATCACACAGCAGCTGCATCTGGGGCGCCTTCTGGAGCGTCTGTAACCCACACTTCCTGCAAACACCCACCCGTTGGTGTGAGGGTCTGAACTCCGATTGGTCTGAGCAAATAAGGCACAGAAGCCGAAACTGCAGCCACGCTGAGGAGGAGCAGAGGCTTGTTCTCACTCCGTGCATCACAGGAAGTGGAGGCTGCATCTTCTGGACGCGGCTAAGCATGTCACTTCTGATCTCAGCACGACCTGCAGTGGCTGTCGGGTGGGAAAGAGCCCTGACACACGGTCCTGTGTTAGAACACGGATACTGGGTTCCCTAAAGTCCACCATGGACATCCTTTGAGGACACTCTCCCAGGACAACCAAAGGAAGGAATCCTAACCCAGCCCGTTATCCAGGCCTGTTCTGGGAACTAGGACACACCTGGGAGGCAGAGGAGTCCACACATGGGTCAGCTTTTCTCTGTTTATTTGCCTGTTCATTTGAGACAAGGTCTCAAGGTCCAAGCCTAGCCTGGAACTCACTCTGTAGCTCAGGTTGGCCTCAACCTCCAGGGCCTCAGCCTCTTGGGTGCTGGGATTTCAGGTGTGTATCACCATATTGATGTTAAATTTTGCTTTCTGAGAGAGGGTCTCATTCAGTAGCTCAGGCCGGTCTGAACCCTAGCATATAGGTCAAGTTAGCCTTGAATTCCTATCATTCCTCCTGCTTCAGCCTCTTGGGTGCTGGGATTACAAGCATAAGCCACCATATAGTAAAAGACTCATGCTCAGGCTCACCTACCAAGCCCTGGATCTGGGGAGCACACAGTGATCCACACAGATAAAGCAAATGTCCTGGGACTATGTGGAGAGAGGCACATTTGCAAGCCTTGTGTGTGGGTCGTGTCTAAGGCAGGGGGTATCCACACCATCTCAGCTCTATACCACATCATGGTGGACACAGAGTGACCGTGGAGTTGCACAGCCCAGCTCTACCCTTCCCTTCCCAGCTTTAGGACAAGAGGATGGTCCACAGTGGGTGGAAACTTTGCTGCCCTAGCCTAGTCAATCTCTCCTAGCCCTGGGAAGGTTCCAGGCAGGCAGATGGGCTGGTGTTGGTGTTGATGCTGGTGCAGCTGCTCTGGGGGAACTGTGAGGCTGGCTAAGCTGCTTCCCTTTCCAGCAGGAACCTTATGGGTATTTTGACTCATCCCACCAAATGGTCTCAGGGGACCTTGAGATGTGGGGGTGGATCCCTTGGGGAATTTTCCTGGGAAGAGGTGCTCCCCAGGTGCTCAGCTCTGGGATTGCTTCCATTAACAGCGAGGACAAACAGAGTCTCACAGAGGGTATGGAGCTGCCTGAGGTCATACCATTGGGATTCTAGGGATCCATAGGTGTGTAAAACAGCTAGGAACTCTAACATGCATGGGAACCTGCCGGGCACTTTTCTAAGCAGAGAAGCAGGTAGTATAAGCAGCCGGTATGGGGGTGGTGGTGGAAGGTCTGTCCTCTGTAGCCCATCCTTGTAAGACTGTTCTTAGGAGAGAGGCGTGTGTGTGTGTGTGTGTGTGTGTGTGTGTGTGTGTGTGTGTGTGTGTCCGTCCTTCAGCAGGCTCTCACATTGCCTACTTCTTTCCTGCTTACTGGAGGGTTAAAGGCCATGACCTCCATGCTAGAGATCGACTTTTCCCATCAGAGAAAGAAGCGACACCACACTGAGCGGTCAGGGAGCTCCATCCTAGGATATTCAGGTATTATGGTTCGCTTTAACTGCCAACTCAACACAACCTAGAGTCACCTGACAGGAAAGTCTCAACTGAAGGATTGCATAGACCAGACTGGCTCACGGGCATGTCTGCAGGGCACTGTCCTGATTGTTAATTGAAGTAGGCAGGTCCACCCCACTGGGGGAGGCACCATTCCCTCGGCAGGTGGCCCTGAACTACGCAAGAAAGCTAGTTGTATATAAGCCAGCCTGCAAGCCAGCTAGCCAGCAGCATTCTCCATTGTTCCCGCTGTACCTCTGGCTGTAGTCCTTGGAGGTTATACCAAGTGGAATAGCAAGCAAGCCTCTCTCTAGTTCCTACCCTCCGTGATGAACTATGACTTGGAATCGTTAAGATGAATAAACCCTGCTTTTGGCCAGGGTGCTTTATCCCAGCAAGAGAAGGAACTTAAAACAACCAGTGACAGGCAATGCATCTGTGTCTCCTGGGGCTCAGGGTGCCACTGTTACACAGGACAGGGTGGCTCTG